TTCTCAGTTTAAACCGATCTGTATTCAATTATTTTTAAAAAATATCCTTTTTATCTCAGTTCATGTGTTAGCATTTTTTGAATGGGATGGAAAATTATAAGCAATACATAAACGTACTTGTTTCAAATACCGGGTGTAACAGCAAAATTGTCCAATTGTTAGATTAAGTTTTGAAACGTTGTAACTTAAAAATAATTAAAGATATCATACTGGATTTCTCTGAGGTTTTTATAACACTATTAGACTCTATTTTGAGCAATAAGAATGTATATTTGTAACAGAAGAATCGTGATGAAATGGATCATAAACGAAAATGGCATATTCATCATTAACCAATCATAGCTAAGGATCGAAAGCTCATGAAGTATTGAAATAAAGTTTTATATATATATATATATAAAGATATGTTTGGTGATACAAAATTTCATCACTGCCATGAATAGACAAGAACTAGTTTTATTATTACCATTCATGATAATAAAAAGTCAAAATGAAAAACGGACTAGCTAACCGGTTTCGTATCTCGCTCAATAGAGCTAAATCAAGGTAAATAGAGTAAATTATATAATTAAAAAAAAGAACAATGGACAAAGTTTATTAGTGGGAAAAAATTAAATGGTAATTAGTTAGAGGCCTAATATAAAGTCTTTCTGTTTACAAAGAGAAGGCTTTAAAGATAGAATATAGATGGCCTCCAACACTTTTGGGTGGTAATTTGAGTGGGACTTGCTAAGGTTAGTAAAAGCGTCCGCACTAAAGCTAACAGCACAATTATGGCTATTTATAAGGTGTTCTGCGATGGAAGACCCGTACGTATTAGTCAGAATGTCCGAGGGAGTGTACTTCCGGTTTGGGGTTTTCGCTGGAACGTGTTGTTTTATTCTAACATCTAGCCTTTGCGTCGTTGTCCCTATGTAGTGTGAACCGGAACTACATTTAAAGGAATAAATTAGTTAACTATTATGACGTTGTGGGAGAAAATCCTTACATATAGCCGGAAAAACAGGCCTGTCAGAGAAAACAACACGAGTATTAGCGGCAAAGTAACAATGTCGAACTGCGGTAGAAACTTGCTTAGCAAACCTATCGCTGATACTACCTAGCCAAGGAAGGCGTAGATACACAGGACATCTTTTTACTGTAGTGGTTTCACTTTGTTAAATTCAGCAACTTTGTTCTTAATAATTGCTTGAACAATTCCCAATGGGTAGGCATTGTTGCAGCGAGTAGAAGAAATAAACCTGAGTTCCTCATCCAACTTGATGTCCGAACAGATCATAAGAGCCCTATGCGTAAGGGTCTTAATTAAATTAATATTGCGTTTCCTGGGACAAAATGAATCCCAACGGATATACAAACCAGTAAACGTTGGTTTACGGTAAACAGAAGTAATAAAACCCGACGTAGATCTGCAGACGAGTACATCGAGAATGGGGAAGAGATGAATCAACCTCCTTTTTCCTGTGTAAATTTCAAGGCTGGATGTATATTGTTAAGGGACGCAAGAAATTAGCCCGCTTTAATCTCGTTATCGAAGAGACAAAAAGTGTCATCAACGTAATGGAAATAAACGCCAGTTTTATCAGATTTTAGTAGTAGACCCTCTTCCTGGAACCCAACAAAGATATTTGCTAAGATGGGCCCCAAATATAAATAAAATATATATATAATAATCGTGGAATAATATATATATATATATATATATATATATATATATATATATATATATTTTAAAAAGATGAGCAGACTGAAAATAGTCTACCCCAAAATTGCTTACTGGCAAAATAGTGATCGATGCTATAAGAAACTTCAAAGCTTTAACATATAAGTAGATATCCAGGAAGGCAGTGACCAACCACGACTGCTAGTTCCATGTGTTTTTCGAGCAATCGTTAGATGGTCAGCTGGTTGTAGTTTTTACAATGTGTACCCTATATACCACCAGACGATTCCAAGACTAACCACTAAAGTCACGTTAGAGCATATACAATTTTAGTATATATATTAGTAGACTCTAACAAGATTCTGACTGCAAATTTCTTACTGACAAAAAATATATATATTACAGCTTTAACATTTATTATGGCATCGAACAATTTTTGCAAGTAATTAATATATATACATACATACATATATAGATACACCTAGTGAGCCAGACAAACCTACCTAGGTTTCACCTAAATAGATCGTCAGGAAAAGTAAGCCTTACTTTCCCTGACGATCCGTTTAGGTGAAACCTAGGTAGGTTTGTCTGGCTCACTAGGTGTATCTAGGTCTGCTCTACGGTTGTATTGAGCTCTTTTGTTAGTTAGTTGTTACTTGTATCGGGGTTTTTTCTTTGGGCTTCAGACCTGCATCTGTGCGATTTTTTTGGTCGGCAGAAGTCCATGTTTGTAGCTCTTTCTTTTTTTAAAACCTTTTTTTTCCTCGAGATTGATTTGATTATTAGCAAATCAAAAATTCGAGGGTTTTTCGAAACGAGTCTAGTTATCTATATATATATATATATATATATATATATATATATATTACAATCATTTTTTTTTTAGTTTTTAGTGTGTATTTTTCGTTAATATTATGGCTCGCATTATATAAAAACATTTCCTAACGGCAATATTCTTATTTGAATATCTCAATTTAGCGTGCCAGAAGGTGATTTGAATCGTGTACCCAATTAAATGACTAACTTGTATTTATCATGCTCTCCGAGATAAAATTTGCTCGCCATTGCTCCAACGCAAAACCATTTACGGTGACGAAAGATTTGATAAATTCAAACGTGGTGAAAGATTTAATTAGGAGTGTTATGCCACAGAGTTGCATACATCTTTTGTTTAATTAGCGTCATTTGAAAACATTTGAAATGTAATTCTGAGCAAGGATTCATAGTCACTTGGAAGAATTATTTCGTATGTTGGACATGAGGCTTCTTTGTTAGCAACAAATGAATATTCCTATACCCATTTTGAACGACGCCATGATACGATCTTTCCCCAAAATTGAAGATTCTTTTTCTTTTAGTTTTCTCTTTATTTTCATATTATTAGTAATAGAACCCTTGGAAATTTCACGGTTTTCCTATTTGAATTTTCTGATGTATCATAATATTTAATAAATAAATAATCTCTTTGCTGCATCTACGACTACAAAATATCCAAGAAAACTGCCGCTATAGCCTCGATAAATATCTGAACATCACAACTTTGACCAAACATGCAATAGATATTGTAACTTACAATAAGTATAAATGTAGATCATTTTTTAAAGAAGTAAGAAGTTACAATGTTTTTTTTTTCCATCTGATATGTCTTTTCCGACTTTCCTTGCAAAGAAATCAGAAAAGTACATTATATATGAGCTACTAAGGCACTTCGAGGTTGTGTAATGGTGAACAAGCTTGTCTCACTAAATGAGTTACGACTGAGTAATGAGTTCAATCCTCACTGGATGCTCCATACATTCGACCTTGTGTCACATCTAAACTACGGGGAAAAAAAAACTTTTTGAGCACTTCGACGTAGTTAACAAGCTTGTCTCGCTAGAACAATTACGACTGAGCAGTGAGTTCGATCCTCACTGGGTGCTCAATATTTTGGCCTTGTGTGACATCTAAGCTACGCTTAGAAAATCACTTTGGGCACCTCGTGGCGGTGTAATGGTTAACAAGCTTGTCTCGCTAGAGCAATTACAACTGAGTGGTGAGTTCGATCTCAACTAGGTGCCCGATACATTCAGCCTTATGCCACATCTAAGCTACGCTTAGGCAATCACTTTTGGCACCTCGAGGCGGTGTAATGGTTAACTAGCTTGTCTCGTTAGAGCAATTACGATTGAGTAGTGAGTTCGATCTCAACTGGGTGCTCCATACTTTCAGCCTTGTGCCACATCATAATTGCACAAAAAATATCATTATATGTGAGTGCGTAACGGACATTGTAACTAATTATCCCAGGAAGAAGCAGAATCATATAATTGTTATTTTCTATATTTTACTTTTCAACTATGTTCAGTATTTCGTTATTCTGCTACAAGTTACTGTTAAAAGCATTGATATGAAATCCAAGGAAGCAAAAAAATCTTTAAATTTTTAGGCATTCGATATCGAGAAGAAAGGTTGCGTTATGGATCTTTCTCGGAAAATGTAGCAGAATCGTTCGATCCGCTGCTTATAAGGATTATGATTCCGATTGAGTGACGATATGATTAGATTTGAGAAAACGTCAACAAAGCCTCCTGGATATCGAAGGCGATATATTAAAAGGTGGAAGGAAGAACTGGGGCCTGGTGGGAAATAATGGTCATTACCTGGAATACTGTAAGCATTTTACACCTCTCCCCCTCTCTCTCTCTCTCTCACACACACACAAACACACTCTTTCGTTCTCTCTCTTTCTCTCTCTTTGAGAATAATTTTTCAATTGTGACAAAATATGATATGTATATTTAAAATCAGGTGCATATATTGGTTGATAGCTACGTAGCTAGCTTGCAAGATAGATAGATAGATAGACAGCTAGCTACCTAGATAGCTTGCTTGATAGATAGATAGATAGATAGATAGATAGATAGATAGATAATGTACAGACATAGATAGATAGATAGATAGATAGATAGATAGATAGATAGATAATGTACAGACATAGATAGATAGATAGATAGATAGATAGATAGATAGATAGATAGATAGATAGATAACTATTTCAGATAGATAGATAGATAGATAGATAGATAGATAGATAGATAGATAGATAGATAACTATTTCAGATAGATAGATATGAACAGTCTGGAAGAGCCAGAAAGCTATTTCAGATAGATAGATAGATAGATAGATAGATAATGTACAGACTGAGATAGATAGCTAGCTATTTCAGATAGATAAAAATCACCATATTTTTGCGTTTGCGCGTTCATGGATTTCTGTGCTTGGATTGTAAAGGATTTTCTCAACAGTGGATTATCTCGTTTTAACCCCGGCTGAAAATCAATATTTGACTTCGATATGGAAGAAGCGGCAGGTTATAATCAACTACAATGTTCGATCACCTTCGTTCCGCTCGAACATGAATCATATAGGGAAAGATCAAACGTAGAATGTTCGATCACCTTCTTTCTGCAACGTAAAAATTGCCGGGGCTGTCGACCTCGGCTCACTGAGATGAGATTTAATGCTTCGAAATCCGAGTTCGAGCAGGAAGGAAAGAGAGGATAACCTACAATTTATCACAAGATCGATACCCAGTTTGGCTTTAAGGACATCGATTGATCTAACCAGTGCTCTTTCTTCTTGTTTTTCTTATAACGTTAGGGTCGCTAGGGCTATCATTTTGTATCATTGTCCCTGAAGTCATTTGACTGTTACAAGATGTGTTACTTGGTAATGCCCGCATACTCTCTTCGTATCATGGAATTTATTACTCTATCATTGTATTTTGCCAGATTTTAAACATTCGAGATATAGGGATGGGAGAGAATGCAGGGTGAGTTCGTTTCCTGCTTTTCTTTTTATATGTGCCGTGTCCTTTCAGGACGTAGGCGATCAAGGCTCTCCACCTCCCTCTATCCCTTGCAGCTCTCAATAAGTTCCTTCCCTCAGCTTTTTCCCCAAGACCATGTTCTGTCATCCACTTGTTTAAGGCGGCTAGGAATGTCAAGTGTTTTTTCTATTGTCTCTCTTTCCCTGTATTTGACCTGTGAGTATCAGATTCTCCAGGCCTTCCTTCCTCATTATGTGCCCCAGAAATTTCATCTGCCTTTTCTTGATATTAAGTATGTTTTCTCCTTGTTTTCATCCTCTCTAAGACTTCATCATTGCTCACAATCTCGGTCCATGATATCCTTAGCATCCTTCTGTAGAGCCATACCTCCATTGCTTCGAGTCTCTTCTTTTCTCATTACCTGTCTCAGAAATTTCATCTGCCTTTTCTTGATATTAAGTATAAGCCTTCTCCTTGTTTTCATCCTCTCTAAGACTTCATCGTTGCTCACACGCTCGTTCCATGATATCCTTAGCATCTATAGCAATCAAGATGAGAACAGTCGATCGAAATTATTAAAGTATATTAACAATCCCTCATTAACGCTGGTTAACTGCTCTAGGAATTTTGTTACATGTTAACCATAACGCCTCCAAAATGAAACACCTCTCTTTTAATCGTCTGAGAGAACCTTTTTTTGTATTCCAACAGTATGGTTGATGCTACTGTTCAGGAGAGTAACACATTAGACCGTTTCGGACTGACATCTTCCGCTGGCATGAAAAGACAATATGATATTGTCATGGGTCCTTACATATAACTACAGAATGAACTCTTCCTAACACTATATATACTACGCCTCTCAAGAGAGAAGGACGAATCCAGGCTTCTCGGCTTGACGGTCGAACTCTCTGCCTCTGAGCAGAGAGGAACCCGGACGAGGCTCAGCCGAAGGGCAGAGTCTCGTTCGGGGAGGTTGACCAACCCGATCCCGTTTATACGGGTTCTACGGGCATTTTTTTGGCCGAGCCTACGGGCTCAGGAAACCCACGTTAAACTCGGCCTTGTGCCACATGCAACCCTCGTGGGGGGGGGGGCTAGATACCGAATCTTGCCGATCTTCTCGGCTTGACGGTCAAACTCTCTGCCTCTAAGTAGAGCAGAACCCAGACGAGGCTCCGCCGAAGGGCAGAGTAAGGTTCGGGAAGGTTGACCAACCCGATGCCGTTTATACGGTTTCTACGGGCATTTTTTGGCCGAGCCTACGGTCTCTGGAAACCCACGTAAATATCGGCCTTGTGCCACATGCAAACCTTGTGGGGGGAGGGACTAGATACTGAATCGAGTCTAGCCGATAGTAGTTCACTCCAAACCAGACAGTCATAGTAACACCTTTCACATCTTGTATTATTATTTCTGGTAATATACCTTCGTTATTTCTACTCTTGTGTTCGTGTTGTTCTTCCTTGGTCCTAAACTGGACCATAACAGATATTGAATCAATCACTGGAACTCGTGGGAGGAAATTTGGTTCACTGTGTCATGCTAAATAATTTTCTGGTCAGAGTCTTTGTCCTTTTTATATGACATGTCCTTTCAGGACGTAGGCGAACATGGCTCCCCACCTCCCTCTATCCCTTGCAGCTCTCAATACGTTCCTTCCCTCTGTTACCTCCACGTTCTGTCATCCACTTTCTTAAGCCCACTAGATATTTCAAGCGGTGTTTTTCCTTGTCCCTCTTTCCCTCTATTCGACCAGTAATATATTCATATTCTCCAGGCCCTCCTTCCTCATTATATGTCCCAGAAACCAGCTTCCTCTTTCTGATGTTAAGGATAAGCCTCCTCCTTGTTTGCATCCTCTCTAAGACCTCATCGTTGCTCACACATTCGGTACATGATATTCGGGTGTATTCTGACCTCACAGATGTCACCAAAGTTGACTTTGAGTAGACAGGTGCATGAGCGGCTAGATCTGAAGGTTGATCACCTAGTCATCAACTGCAGATTCGCGATCACTCGATTTTAGCGGCTACACCCGACATGTAATTACGTCGTTGACCCAGATGGGCCTAGGTTGTACACCGTATGATAGGCAGCTATATAAGTACCTACGGATGAGTGTATAAACTGGCGAGAATGGAGAATTCATTTTTGGAAGAACTCCAAGGCAATACAAACACATTTGCCGATAGTAATTAACAAATACCGGATTTCAATAAATAAAATGATACGTAGGCTGACGTTAACATTACCAAAGATAACCTTATATTACGAAGTGAACATTTGATTAAATTGATTTTCTTCAGTGTAAAGTTGTTGAATACAAAAGGAACATGATTTTTTGTTGCACACAGCATCAAAACAACTGACTTTCAATTTATATGATATAGTTGTAGGGTAATTATTTACATTGTTTGGACTGTTGTCCTTATCTTTATTGCCAAATTCACTCCTTCAATATCTGTCTATATTTCCGAGATGAGGTATTGTAATTATTTACACTATTTACTTTGTTCGGACTGTTGTCCTCATCTTTATTGCCATATTCACTACTTCAATATCTGTCTATATTTCTGAGATGAGGTATTGTAATTATTTACACTATTTACATTGTTCGGACTGTTGTCCTCATCTTTGTTGCCATATTCACTCCTTCAATATCTGTCTATATTTCTGAGATGAGGTATTGTAATTTTTTACACTATTTACAATTTTCAGGACTGTTGTCCTCATTTTTATTGCCATATTCACTCCTTCAATATCTGTCTATATTTCTGAGATGAGGTATTGTAATTATTTACAATATTTACTTTGTTCGGACTGTTGTCCTCATCTTTATTGCCATATTCACTACTTCAATATCTGTCTATATTTCTGTGATGAGGTATTGTAATTATTTATACTATGTACATTGTTCGGACTGTTGTCCTCATCTTTAATGTCCAATTGATAAATTCGTTAGTTGGAACAAATCAATTCATATAAAAATTGTGAGTTCAATGCCAGGCAACTGTGGAAGAAAATATTGGAGAGTTGAATTCGATGGATATAACTGAGATATATGGAAACGGCATGGCACGTGAGACTATAAAGGAAATAAGGGGTTCACTTCGAAATTCCAATCCCCTGAATACGGCCAACGTGCACACCATTTATTCTTCACTTGTATATTTACACATACGCTCTAGCTCTGATTTTGAGCACTTCATCCCATAATTATAGCACAAATTAAAACTATATTTATTCATATATATATATATATGTATATATATATATATATATATTTAAAAAGAAAAAAGAGAGAAGAGAGGTGCCGCAAACGTTTTTGGTAGTAATGTGGGTTTTTTTTTGTTTTTTTTAGAAAAAATATCATGCTTTATTTTCCATAATTTTACTACACGTGTTTCTGGTCTCGTGATCGTCTTCAGGTAAAAGCGGTGATTTCCACATATTATTAAAAATAATTAATTTTTTCCTTATGGTCAATGTTAAATATTCTCGATATGAGACATTCTCTGTTTGTGTGTTGGTAATCCGAATGTCTTTCTTGAATTGGCAATGAAGAGTTCTGCGCGAAGGGCCATAAAACAATTAAGGTTGGCCCAAGCGAAATGATGAATTGCTTATCGGCATTTTATCTTTTAATGTTTTACTGACCCCTGTGCGTTCTTAGATCTGTTTCCATTTTCATGTGTTTCTGTCAGCATGCGTGTATATATGCGTGCGTATATTTCCTTCCATATATATACTGTCTTACTACGAGGAATTAGTAAACTCATTTGTACACATACTTCATACACACATACATACACATACGCGCACACACACCGTCCGACCACAAGGAATCAGTACACACACACACACACACACACACATATATATATATATATATATATATATATATATATATATATATATATATATATATATATATATAAATCCCATTTTTCCTTTCATTTCGTTGTTGGAATTGTTACCTGATGATCCGGAGTCCTTTAAAAGGATTTTGTGAAATAAATTATTAATGTAATGGTACCTTTTTTTTAAAAATATATATATATTTATATATATATATATATATATATATATATATATATATATATATATATATATATGGGGAGGATGTGTGTGTGTAAAAATGAGACCGAGTAGCGTCTAATTGCAACGTTCGTAACAGTCAATTAAAAAGAGGGCTCAATAGAAGAAAATAGAAGAAAAAGAAACAAATTAAGAAAGAAAAGAGAGGAGATGGTTGCAGGCTTTGTTTTGGTTTTATGCAGAGTTTTCATTTGAATGATGTTTCCAACATTTCTCAACAACAGCATACATGTCCAATTTCGAAATTCAGAAAAATTCTTTTGGATTTTCTATAATTTTTCAGGAAAATAATAAACAAAACTTAGAATTCTTGAAGCTATCTTTATTAAAAACTGAAACCAAACCTTATTAAAATTAATTATGAATGCTGCACAAATGTTTTAAAATGTTTACAGTATATAGTTTAAAATAACGAGGTTTGTACTAATAGTGTTAATACTTATTTCTTAAAAACTCTCTATACTTACTTAGCTGCCCTAAAGCGTTACACATGCCAATCAAAGTACTCAACTCAGCGTTCTTCACTTCACAATAACAGCAATTTATCATTCAGATGAACACAGGTCATTTTGGTCTTTAAAAATGATGAACACTACAATACTTGTC